TGCCACAAGTACTCCTGTTCTTTTTGCGGATACAGACTAACACGGCTGCTACTCTGAAACCTGAAGAAGGTGCGAACCTTGAGGAGCCTGTCATCCACATAGGGAAAGACAATTATTCTCAGGTGATGAATTATTCTCATGCAATGGCTGAGAAGACCTTTGTGAAGACCCTCTAGGAGACTGAAAGGCCAAAGGGTAGGACCCAGTACGGAAAGTGGTGCTTGCCAACAACAAATTGTAGGAAACATTTGTGGGATGGTGCATAGCTATATGAAAGTATGATCTTGGAGGTAGAGGGTAATGAACCAGTCCCCTGGATCTAAAATGGAATGATCACTGCCTGAGTTACCATCTTGGATCACTGTGTGAGGACAAAGGAGTTCAAAAGTGCATAGATCCAAAACTGGTCTCCATCCCCCTCTTTTCTTGGGAACCAGGAAGTACCCGGAGTAGAATCCTTTTCCAGTAAAGTCTGGTGGAATGGATTTGATGGCCTTTAGAAGAAGAAGAGATTGTACTCCTGCCTTAAGAAGCCTTCATGAGAACAGTCCCTGAATAAGGACGGGGGGGAAAAAGGGGGTTGGGGGATGGAAGGGAGGCATGGAGGTGAACTGGATGGAATAGCCTGTCAAAATCACTTCTAGGCTCCATCTGTCCAAGGTGATGAGCACCCAGGAAGGTAGGAAATAGGAGAGGTGTCGTTCTCCACAGGGTGGGTTGATGCAGCATAGGATCCAGATTCAGGGGTGGTTCATGGCCTTTGATCAGCAAGTCAAAAAGGTCGCTTGGAAGAGGTTGCCAACAGAGTTTACTGTAAATGGTGGCCCTTTCTTGGGAAATGTGGTTGGTTCAGTCGGTCTGAGGGAGGTTTGGTAGTCAACTGGGTGGGATCGCTGTGCTGTCTGCAACGTGCTGTATTTTCTTTTCGTTTCAGGTGTACAGATGCCAAGAGATCACACAGTCACCCTAGAGTCTTTAAGTCAGTGGAGGGAACCATTCATGGCATCACTGAAAAGCTTAGGCTTTTCAAAAGGAAGGTTCTCCATGGTATTTTGTATCTCCCTGACAAGGCAGAGGATTGCAACCATGACACCTAATGCATGATTACAGCAGTTGCCATCAAATGTGAAGCTGTATGTGCCACATTGAGAGAAGTCTGAAAGGAAGCCTTAATGATTAACTGGCCTTCTGGGAAGAGGGCTTGTAACTGCTCCCTCTGGTCTTGAGGCAAATGTTCAGTGAAATGTGAAAATGTAATGCAATTTGTGAAGTCATATTTTGCATATGTGATGGGGCTTAAGCCCCATCACCTGCAAGGCTAGTGAATGCACCCAATTAGTCATGCTCTGCAGCTGTGGGGGGAGCAGGTGAATACTTCATTGGCTCCCAGCCAGAAGGAGCAGAGCTAAGCCACAAAATAAGTAGATTGAAGGAGTTCAACTGAGGGGAGAGACTGCAGAAGAGTCAGGTGCCTCTAGCTGAGAGAAGTCCAGTGTTAGGGTAACAGAGATAATGGGGGCAGTCCCCTACAGGGGCTGCATACACTCCTGCAAAGGAAGCCCTAAAACAAGAGTACAAGGAGAGGACTTCAGCAGCCCAAAAGGGCAGGAGAATTATCCATATTCATTTGGACTTGTTCATGATACCCTGGAAGTGGTTTGAACTTTGTGACTTTGCCAGAGGACTGAGCCACTGGAGTCAGAAGCAGGAAGTCAGCAGGAGGCACTGAAGTCAAAGACAGCAGCAACATCTCGCCCACCACACAGCAAGGCCTGATAGTTCACAACTCTAAATTGGAGAGCAACCAATGAATAGCTCTTGTAGCCTGTAAGGTCCATGTACTTACATTATTTATCAGAAGGCGTATTGCTTATTTCTTTCATTGACAGCAACTATCACCAAGGAGTTAGGGGTGGAATTGGAGGGGGAAAAAATACTCCAAATCCTTGACCAGCAGATAGTATTTTTTGTCAATCCATTTGCATGGGGCTGGGATTGTTACTGCCAAACCATACAGGCCGGTGAGAGTAATGCCTCAAATGGGCAAGGCAAACTTGCTCTGGGGAGAGGAATGCAGAATATCCACCAGGAGTGTTGAGTTTCTTGTATTTCCTCTATTTAGCAATTCTTTTCATCAGATCTCGAAAGACCCTAATATCATCATCTGCATAGGATGCTGGTACAGGCATAACTGCCTTGCGGGGTGAGGATGATTTATTACATGGTGTCTCCTCCTCAGCTATTAGCTCCTGTTCCTGGGGAGGAGGGTCCTGCAGTACTGCTGGCTTGATGGATCCTCTTACATGAGGGTACCCTATAAAACTGGTCACCATAAGGGGTCCAGGGATTGTGAAAAGCCCACTGTGATAGAGCGCAGAGAAAGGGAACAGGACCCAAGCGGTTCCTGCCAGGGTTGGTGTGGGGTCCCTGGGGTCTCATCCTCAGGATACAACTCTAAGAAGGAAAGTTGGAATGGGAATGTGATGGAGTCCTAGACAGAAATGTCCGAGAATTGTCATCTCCTGTATCTAACAGGAGCCACCAGTATCCATACCGGTGTTCAAGGCGGGACTGACAACCAAGTCAGTACTGGAGGCAGAGTCTTTGTATGGGGGCGCAGTAGCACTGATAGGGATTCCATCTCTGGAAGGCATGTTGGTACCAATAAGTGATCCCTCCCAGTACCCCTTAGCAAAGGAGATTCAGGTTCCTTCATGGCTTGGATATCCTCATGGGAGTGGAACCTAGTCGGTACCAGAGAACCTGGGTACAGTTCTACAGGAACATCAGGTGGTACCAAAGACAATACATAACAGTGTGTATTCTTTGTCACCATAACCTGAGGAAGAGGGAACTGGAGCAGAGGTCAAAGCTGATTTTTTTTAAAGGAGTGTTTGTTCCTCAAGGAGTCCTTGCATGTGGAGGGCTCTGATTCAAGTACTGGCAATGGCCGCTCAAGGCTGATTACGAGAAGACTTCTTGTTGTGGGTTGAGCTGGAAGTCTTTGGGAGGTACCAGCATCTCGGTACAAGGCTGGTACATGCCTCAGCAGTACTTGCACTGGGACGCAAGGTCTCCTTGTCCGCTGGCCTTACAGGTGACTTTCCCCTTTTTCGGAGGCTCTCTCCAAGTAATCAAGTTTTTTCTTTTTTGAATGCTTCAAAGCGTTTGAAGCTTTCCCAGGGTCTCTACTTATCAAGATTGAAGAAGTCACCAGAGTACCCCGAGCAGCTGAGGTCAGTGTAGGGGGACGGAGGGGGATTTCAATCCCATGGGTCTCATGGAATGTTCCAAGAGGAGACACTTCAGTCTGTCTTCCCTCATTTTCCTAGACCTGCTCTTGAAACCTGAACAGACCATGCACTAAAAACAAGACTAGGAATTCTCCAGTGCAGTGGAGGCAGCTGGAATGCCCATTGCTGAGAGAGAAAGACCTGTGGTAGGTCTGGCAGGATTTGAAACTTCAGGGCTTTGGCATAACCCACACAGGGCAGGCCACAAAACAAAACAGGAGCCAAGGACTGCGGGGGGAAACAAAGGGGGAAACAAAGTGGGGAGTGGAGGGACCCCCCCAGATGCACAAACTTGTGCTAAAAACAATAAACAAAATAAGAACCAAATAAAAGGAGCCGCAGGCAGCTGAGAAGAAACTGGAATGGCAGTGGGTCTAGTTCTCCCAATATTACTAGAGCATGAGGATGTGATGGGTGCACATGCTGACACAGTTGCCAAAAATCTATCAAAAGTGCACCGGCATGCACACATCCTAATGTGGAGCACCCATCAGACAATAATTCAAAAAATAATTCAAACTTCAAAAATCTGCTGGTAACTAGCCTCTAATACCTTTAGTAAAAATAGAAATTATTCTGTAACATTACCTGTTCCCAAATTTACCAGCTGTAGGTGATTGTTACAATAGTATAGAATTAATTAGACATTCCAGTAATGCAGTAAAATACTATGGGCCTGATGCAAAGCACATTGAAGTCAATGGCAAGACTCCAATTTGGCTTTCCATTTAGGCCCTTTATAAGCCAGTAACATTGTATTATTCTAAATCTCTAAGCTACCTGTAATCACAGAGCAGGGCTAACTATGAATATGCTATTTTATGCATATTCATAAAAGTAGACAGTAATAAGTGTTTTCCAGCAACTCATACCGGGTCTGATTCTGACTAATATTAGCATAAACAAGGAGTAAGTCTATTGAATTCAACGAATCTACACAGTTTAAAATGTATAGATTTTTTTTTTGTTCAGACTAATGAATATTCTGTTCATTGAAATAGTCATCATGTGTGATTAAAATGATCCTTTTTCAATCTGGCAACATATTTCAAATAGTTGCGTGCACAGACAAGTAGGTTAAAGTCAAAAGTTTCGAATGCGCTTTCTAGCAACCTTTTACCAAAAACTATAGTGCAGGGATCAGCAACCTTTGGCACGCGGTTCGCCAGGGTAAGCTTATAGTGCATTCCCTTCCCTCTAAAACATTTCTCCTATGTCTAAAATGTCTCTCGACAGGGAATTCCCAGACTTTTCTCTGTTGTGACCCCTCTTTTAAAATATCAAAATATTTGTGACTTGCTTATACTTTTATTTGTTTACACAGGGCCAAATTTATCAAAGCTGGTGCTGGGACAGGTAAAGTTCACCTTCCTGAGCCAGCTAAATCCATTGTCCCAGAGAGGAGATTCAGTACTCTGCAGGACAATCTGAATTCTTGTCACCATACATTCCCTATTGTGAATGGGTGTTTACAAGGCCTGGCATACTTGACAGCAAGCTGGAACTAAATTCTGTGCAAGAACTTCAGTTCTACATCACTCTGGTGTAGTAGATTGGAAAAAAAACTATGGCAGGTCAATTTAACTTTTTTTTAAGTGAGTTAAATATGAAAATGAATAGTAACATCAGTGTCTTTGCCATTTATTTTTATATTAAACTTATGCTATGCTGTCCACACATTTATGGTTTTCACTATGCCACGGATTTTGGTTTTTGAAGACCTACAGCTGCATTGTAGGAGTGGTCAGGATGGAAGCTGGAGGTTTCAGTAGCTCACTGAGAATCATCTGGGGCTTTTAGAACCTAGATTGGTATGGAAGGCAATTTGGATTGTGGGTTAAACACATTAGTTACATGTTTCTGCTAAAATAATAAAGTAAAAGCAGTGAACTAGTTAATTTAGATATTTAAATGCCATCTTAAGGTTTCAGTGTTAACACTTCACTGAGATGAATGGGTCAGGTTACAGTCCTAATAGCTATGCTGTCTGCAGTCTCAGGAAGATAGCATAGCATCAGTTATGATTGGTTTTCATGTTTACCTTTGTAATTATGAGGATTGGAAACAATTAAATCATGGAATAATAATACCCTGGTGTTCTTTTACATTCTTTAGTAGTTTTCCCAAATATGCTGTGATTGGCAATCTGTTACTATGAAAACAACCCCTAAAAAGTTAATATGATTGCAGTGGGAAGGGGTGAGCTAGAGAACTGGGAATTGTAACTATGAAGACAGTAGAGTCACCTCCTTATTTTAAAGGTGACTGCTAGACTAGGGACCTGATTCTCATCTCCCCACTAATCAACACTTACCCCACTCTCTCTCACATACACATTATGGCAGAACATTTTGAGAGGGGTGCAAGCAGGCACAAAGAGATAGATTGAATATGCTTCATTTACATTTTACAGCACGTACTAATCCTCCAGAAGGAGAGATCATGAAGTAATTGTTACAAAACAGATGTTTGCCTTGTTACTACACAACAGAACCTCAGATACATGTGGGGTTTTTTTTCCATTTACTGAGAAGGAAATAGTGGTAGGTGAGGTAACCCCACCTTGTTGTAAATGTTGGTAAAAGATCCTTTTTAAAGGTGACCTCTTTATAGCTCTATTTCATTAATTTGTATATTTTTCACTTCTCTGAGTTGAATATTTATATTACATTTTTTAAATAAGGAAGTTCAAATATTTCATTTAAACGCCGCAAGACCTCGGAGTCCTGATCCACATTTTCTGAGGCACTGCTCTAGACTACAGAGCTCCGAAATTATGTAAGCTGGTAAGATATTTTTCTACAGGGATGCTGCCCAATGGAAGTCTCAGCTTGGACTTGCAAAATGTGAATGAAATTTAAACTGCAGCTATACTTCAAAGAGAAATGGCAAAAATGTAATAGTTTACAAATAAGGGGATGGTGAATATTCCTCCTTGCTGCCAGTCCTAGAACTCAACTTGGGGTCAAAATTCAAGCTTTATTCTTTCTGGCTTGTGCATCAACGCTAGAATTAAATTGTGATATTCTGCCCTGCACCTCTTAGAGCAGCAGCACAGAACTTGCAGCCCAAGGATGTGGAGAGCTTACCGTGGCTTTTAGCCACCTTTGAACCCTCCTGATACTGGGCTGCTCCAGGAGTTAAAGAGGCCTAGAACAAAACCTACATAGCCATGGGGATCTGTCTAAGTTATGGCAGCCTCTCAGGCCTGCCCTATGGGACCCCAGTGCCCACCACTGACACATCCCCTCCAGCTTCACCCCTAGCATTCCCCCTAAGTCAGGACTTGCAAGGGGATTCTCTGAAGGCAGCCTTTGGCAGTTTTCTGCAGTGCCTGCCACCAGGGGAAATCATCCCCTGTCCACAATGGAAGCTTTTGGGGCTCCTTTTCATCATTCTGGCCATTTTAATGGATGTCAAGGAGTAGGAGTGAGGATCTCACCCATAAACTCGGCAGTTCTGTTGAGATGAGTGATTCAGTTCATTCTCCCATAGCCCTGTAGAGACAGCACAGCTAACAGGAGAAAAAGCAGAAATGTACTAATGCCACTGAAGGAGACAAAAATAGGATTCTAAAAACACAGACAGCAAATCAGTTGAATACACTTTTATGGTTTAATTTTTCTTTTTACACAGATTATGAGACTGTTGCAGAAAAGAGTCACTTTCGTATGCAACTATTTCAATGGATGGTACTAGTTATGTATTTAAGTATTTGATCTTTTCTTATTTGACTGGATGTCTTCATTGAAGTCAATTTATTTTCATCTTTTTCAGTTTTGAATTAAAGTACTGTAACTTGCACTGGCTGAGAAGTTGACTATGCTGTCATTATAATTTAGATATCTATTTTAGGCTGAGCTTTCACCAGGCTAGCATTGTACATGAGATGCTGTACTGCAATGTATTTACCATGTGGAATATTAAAAAACTAAATAAAAAGTGAGTGTGACCAACTTACTTTAGCATTAAGAGGGCACACTGACAGAGCACTCCTAAAAAGCTGTTCTTCAGACCTCCACTGGTTACTGCGGATAACACAGCGCAACACGTTGATCAACAAGATTCCTAGTACAGCAGCAGCAAGCATTTTCTTAAAGAAAGGAGATATAGGTTAATCATCATTGTATTAAAGTTCCTCCACTAGCCTTGGTCCATCAGTTTTATTGACAGTTAGTACGTACCTTTTTCTTAGCTTGTTTGCTCAATAGACTAAATCCATATGTAAGTAGCATACAATAGCCAATACTGGGGAGGTAGATGACTCTCTCTGCAACAACAAATCCTACTCGGAAGAACAGGTTACTTGCAGGAAGAAAAGGGATAATAAGAAATCCCAGTCCCAGTGTAAGAATTCTGGAAATAAGAAACAGACTCACATTTAGCAACAAAACTTAGATGAAAAAGTGCTTTTGTTAATATACAAAAACTGTTTACTAATCATTGGGAGCCATTATGTGGACTTAACCTATTCATGTCTACCTCCCATTGAATTTAAATAGGATCTGGGTGCCTAACTCTTGTGGGCTTCTTTGAAAATCTAGACACACTTCCCACAAAATTAAACTGAAGTCAAGACGTGGATTCCACGACACAAAATGACACTACTAAACTGGAAATCATTCATAGAATATTAGGGTTGGAAGAGACCTCAGGAGGTCATCTAGTCCAATCCCCTGCTCAAACAGGATCAACACCAACATTAAATTCTGTTCTCCCTGATCCAAATATACAGGCAATAAAACTACTGATTACAGCTATATACAATTTTTGAAACTAATTGGTCAATTAAGGTAAAATATTTGATTTTTTTTTTTAAAAAGCCACCTCAAAGATGCGTCATAAACATGTTAAAGACACTGTGCTTGAAATAACCAGTTTTCTCAGTTGAAGACCAATCAAAGAAGACAAGTGTTCATGTCAGAAAGCCACAATGTTCATCATAAAAGAGAACCACCATCCAGGTATCTATACATTATGTTAAAATATTTATTTTTACACTAATTTATATTTATAATAAACTTTTGGGAACTTGAAAACGAAATTGGGTGTCCTCCCCCCCCCAGACCCCAATGTGCTAGGCCTTCACTTCACTTCCAAATTATTTTGTTAGTTTAGAGGTGATCATGGATGCTGGCCCACTGGCTCTCTGAGTTGTTGTCCCTCCCTTGGGTGGGGAATGGAGGCAGAAATTTGGGCTTTCACTGGTCTTCCCTCCTCTTCCCTTCCAGGAGGGGGAGGGAGTGGCTTGGCTCTAACAGGGTCTGAGTCTGACCGGCACACTCTGGTTGCCATTGAATGACTAGATCAGGAGAGACCCACTGACTGGCTCCCAACTGCAGAGGCAAGGTGAGGAAGGAAGTGTTGTTTCTGCCTACGGCTGGCCAGTAGCCATTTTGGCTTTGTTCCAGCCCCACCCTTATCCCCTCTTCGTATACTAGATCCTTAAGGGGCTATGCTGCTGGCCAAATTTTATTCGGGGTCTGGAACAGAGTGACCAGATGTCCCCATTTTATAGGGACAGTCCCATTTTTGGGTCTTTTTCTTATATAGCTCCTATTACCCCCCCACCCCCAGTCCCGATTTTTCACATTTGCTGTCTGGTCACCTAGTCTGGGAACAATTTTTTTCCGCTACATGGCAAAAGACTGCGTGGGGTTTTTTTCACCTTCCATCAAACATCCACGCAGTTTGATTTAGGGATTTATATTACATATATTGCAACTTTGGCTGGTTCCAATGGGTGGAGAGGGAGTTAAGAAACAGTCCTATATGAGGTTCTTAACTCAATGTGCTTCTTGGGCATGGGCTTCAAGCACAACTTTGCAGAGTGAAGAGGTCCATGCCTCATGCAGCCTGGCTCTCCTACTTCCAGTGTGGATGCGGGGAATGGGCTGTGACTGACTTCTTGCCAAGATTCCTGAGCAGGCCTGGGGGCATACAGGGGGCACTGCCCCCATATCCATCGTGAGATTTGTAGAACCGGGAGCCACTGGCACCCAGTTAAATTCCACACTAGAACAGCCTTGCCTGGTAGTTTGGGAAGGGGTTCCTTGTTGGTTAATTCAGTATATACTCGTTCATAAGCCGAATTTTTTTTAGTAAAAAAGGGAAGCACCAGAGAAGGGGGTCGGCTTATGAACGGGTATAGAGAGGGAGAGGTGGGACACAGCCCCTCCCCCCAACAGACGGAGCAAGGAGAGGCAGCACAGCCAGAAGGGAAGAGGCGGGGCCAGAGTCTCTCCACTTCTGGCCACACTGCTCTTCCCCCAGCCTCCGAAGCAGCTGCAGCTCCAGGACTGGCAGGCTGCAGCCGTGCCGCTCAGCCCCACCCCCAGAGCAGGCTGCGGCCGCCCAGCCCAGCCCGCTGGAACATGCTGCAGCCGCGCCGCCCGGTCTAGCCCGCCAGAGCAGGCTGCAGCTGTGCTGCCCAGCCTGCCAGAGCAGCTCCAGCCAGGCCAGAAACATCCTCCCCAGATAAGGTGGGAAGGGATGGGATGGGGAGAGTGTGGGGGTCCCAAGCTAGGGGTGCGGTCATGTGGGGTGTGGTCACAGGGGTTACTCCCCTGACCCCCAGCTTCTCCCCTCCAAACCCCCCCCCCCCCCGGTTGCTGTCCTGGCCCGTCAGGGTAAGCAGCTGGCACGCTGGGACACTTTGTTTACTTAGGTTTACCTCTGTGCCTGCGGACGCTAGAGGTAAACAAACCATCTCGGCCCACCAGTGGCTTATCCTGATGGACCAGGAGCCAAAGTTTGCTGACCCCTGAATTATAGGGTTGGCTTATGAACAGGTCATAAAAATTTTCCATTTTTACTTATCCATCTCAGGGGGGTGGGCTTATAAACGAACCGGCTTATGATCACGTATATATGGTAGTTTATTAAAATTGCAGCTTCTGCATTTAACCATACTCTGGTGTGTGTGTCTCACTGCTTCTGTCTCTGTATTAATGAGAGTATTGACTTAGGCTGTGCAAACTAGTAAAAGCATGGAGGAAAGGGAAATATATAATAGATTAGCATTTTAGAGGGAAAAATTGGCACTGCAGAAGATGATAAAAATTTGAACAATGGATGGCATTGGGATTAAATTGTTTATATAATTTTAAAGAACTGGCAAATTTATCAGTTAAGGACATCCAAAAAGTGCAACCTAAACATATCATGAGAGATGTTAAATTCTTTTATCATATTAAAGGCTTCTATTTACAGAAGCTTTTGGTTTTCTTTTCTATGAAGTACAATTTCCCTTCCCCCCCCCCCCAATTATTTTCTCAATAACCCTTCATTGATAAAAGAGTAATCACTCTGGGATAGCATTTTATTTTTAATCAATGGCCAGAATCACTACATCTTTTCAAAAAAGGCCCCCTTTTTTGTTATTACAAAAGAAGGAAAAAAAGAATTGTAAAAAGAGGGGCACAACATACATCAATTACACTCTGCTCTGACCACAAATTACTTTTTACCACCTACAGTGCTAAGGATCTCAAAATGCCATCTCAGGAGGAAAATAAAGCAGCCAACCATACCTCTTTCTACAAGTTTGCTTCCCAGTAGTCAATGCCCAAATTAGGATGAAACTGCAATAGCAGCTATAAATATTTATTTGAAATACATTTGCTAGATATTGGTTCCACTGAATTGTTAAAATGATCAGTACTGGATTTAACAAAATAATACTGTACTTAACCTAGTGTGGAATTTAAAATTCAGCACTGTCTCTTACCTTCTCTTATGGCTGTCTTGTGAGCACAGAGCTTGGCATATCAGGGCAATTAGGCAGAACCAAAGTGCTGCTAGTGCAATTATTCTCCAGTCACTGACTGATTTAATAAGGGGTATGCAGCCCATTGACCAATCAAAACACAGCCACCAGGGACACAGCAGCAGCCATGCATTCAACGAATAGTAGTAATTATAGTTTATAGCCTGTCAGTCAAAGAAAAACAAACATTTATTTGATACTAAACTTCCAAAAACACCCAAAATCCAACTTCAGCACTCTGTGATCTTTGTTTCCCTTCCCCTCCACCCCCAAAAATGTATCTTTTAAAATATTAAGTGTCCTAACTCAAATGCTGCATGATTCTAATTACATACAGGTCCATTCATTTTGCATTTTTTTTAAATCGTATGATGATTTTTATCAAAAACGTTTTCCATGCACAGGATGTTTCTCCTATTCAAGATGGGAGAGCCAATAGACAGTCCTCTATGTATGTGGATCTGGATGGGACAATCTCCCAAAACATGAGGCAATGTGAAAAAAGCTCAGCTTTATTATTGGGTATGTCTACGCTGCAATAAATACCCACAGCTAGTCCGTGTCTCCTGACTTGGGCTCCATCTGCAGGGCTATAAAACTGCAGTGTAGACGTTTGAGCTCAGGCTGGAGCCCGGGCTCTGAGACCCCACAGGTGGAGAGGGTCCCAGAGCCCAGGGACCAACCAAAGCCCCAACATCTTCACTTCAATTTTATAGCCCCGAAGCCCGAGCCCCACGAGCTGAGTCAGCTGACCTGGGCCAGCCATGGGTCTTTTATTGCAGTGTAGACATACCCACCGTAGGCAAAGGCACTAAAACAAAAAACCACCACACCACAATACAAAGCCACATACCCAGTCAGAACATAGTGTTATTTTATTCAAAGGTGAAGGAAAAGTGCAGGACCAACTTTCAATAGCTGTTAAGGGAAAGGACAGCAAAAGGATTGTATCCCTTCTCCCACGAACATAGAAAAGAGGGGAAGAAAACACACAGTACATTAAATAAAACCACACAAGCTTTACTAAAAAGGTGATTCATCATACAGTCCACAAATACAAGAAACACTCATTTTATTGATTTTTTTAAGTGCTGAAGTAAAATTGAACTTTCCTTTTAAAGACCCAGGTTTTTTTTAACTTGCGGAAGTATGACAGGTTTGTGACTTACTCTCACAAACAAGCTGTCTGCAAATGAAGCTGGGTTGTCTACTTCAGTAAAAGCGGGTGGTCCTGTGCCCATAATTCTCCAGCGCATGCAGAGCATAGTGGCCCCTCCAGACAACAGTAGAGTTATCCTGAAGAGGAGTCCCTTTTTAAACAACCCAACATTCTACAGGAGAAAAACAACAACAGGACAAATTATTAACACCTTCAGATCTTGTTCCCATCCACCTAAAACAGAAATAGCTGGAGAGAAGATGGTATTTGTGCATTCTAAATATCAAAGGGAATAAATGTTTTACAGCCATTGAACCAAATTCTCTATTGCATGGGTATCTACTTGCTTTATGGCAAAAATATTTATTATAAATAAAGAATAAGAAAGAAGCTCTTCAGAAGGACTGTGCCTTCTGATTGTACAGCATCTGATATATATTGTAGGGCAGGGGGTTCTCAAACTGGGGGTCGGGACCCCTCGGGGTCACAAGGTTATTACATGGGGGTGGGGGGTCCACGAGCTGTCAAACCCCAAATCCCGCTTTGCCTCCAGCATTTATAACAGTGTTAAATATATACAGAAGTGTTTTTAATTTATAGGGGCGGGTCACACTTAGAGGCTTGCTATGTGAAAGGGGTCACCAGTAAAAAAAAGTTTGAGAGTCACTGTTGTAGGAGCTTTGGGAAACAAATAATCAAGAAACAAAACAATAATAAGGGCTGAGGATTCCCTTCTCTCTGGTTTTATTTTGTGGTCTTCATGATTAATTTGAAAAGAAAGACTTATTGCAAACAAAATTTTATTGATAATGAATTACAAAGGAAACAATTTCTCTTTAAGAAGCGTCTCTAACAATCTCTGGAAGTTTAAGTTATTTCTCAAGTCAGTTTCTGTCAGGGGATTTGAAGAACATACATGTAAGTATTCATACAGCATGTTGGAAAGATCAATACTCTGAGAATTAATGATAATGTACTGTGAGCATTTAATTTAAAAAACATCTCAATTAAATACAATTGAAATATTTAACTAGCGTTCTGTTTTAAAACAGATATTTTTATATGATATTGTTCTAAAACAAGTGTTTTTCTCCATTTAAATCTATTCAGTGTAAAAATTATATGAGTTGATACATGAAAGTTCCACAGTTAAAAATTAGGGAAAAAGGGAGGAAACTGTGGTAAAATTATTAAAAGCATGACTAAACCCAAGTGACTTAGGAACCTATATTTTACTGTAAAATGTATTATTGCAGTTTATACAGGATTTATTATGGAGAAACGAGGCAAGAATTCCATCCTTAAGACTGCCTCTAGTGTTCCATTATGACCTCATTTTCAGGTCACTCTCCACTACGTGGTTAGGGAAGTTTACCTTTCATGAAAATCATCATGGATTGAGAGAAAAATTTAAAATAAACAAAAATTAGAAGAAATGTCACTGCTCTTTTGTCCAATTCTTATGCCAAGGGTTGAGACTTAAATGTGAAAAGAGGGTCTGGATCTGAAATTGTGGTTAAAAAAAAGTTTAATGTTTCTTTAGGCTCCCAGGGGATGGGGGAAGAAATTGTAAGAAACTTGAAACCGTCTGTATACAACATTTCCATGCACAGATCAGAACAATTTTTGGAGGTGGGAGAAGTTAAAATTAATGAGCTATTAATATTTTCCATCGTATTTTCATGAAATAACTGGCATTTGAAGTTTTCCACACATAGCCCTAATGATTTAAAATTGTAAACCGAAACAATGCTTTAAACTCTTCACATTTTAAAGAAAGTCACTTATAAAAGGTTTATCTTTGAAGCATTTCCTCAATAAAACTCTGAAGTGGTTCTGCTTTAGTCCCCTACTAATCCCAAGACTCCTCACTTTTCTTAAACTGACTGACAGTCAACTTACACTGTTGAGTGCTCGGGCATTCCTTTTTGCTGCTAGAACTACCCCTTTCCCTTGAGCTAGATATCTTTGCCCAAATTGGCTGATTCAGTTCTACAGAGTTCATTCCCATTTACTGAGATCCCTCCTTAAACTCCAAAGGGCCTTTCATTCACATTTCATCCTTGCAGAGTTTATGGAAGCTCCACAGGGCTTAAACTAAGCACCAGAGGAGCAACGGTTCTCTGCAGTTTTACACCATGCAAAGTCCAATGAAGATTTTTCTGCCTTGTTGAACCCTCCACGGGAGGGACAGATAGTTTGTCATTAGTAACTCTCTTCTCTCTTGAGGGACTATCCAGTTGCAGTCAAAAGTTTACCCAATACTTGTTATTTCTGGGATTTGCTTGCCACTGCACATGTGACATGCCAGATTCCATCTGAGCTGATAATGGATGAATTAGGGTTCACTGTAGACACCCGTTTATCCTCCAGAGACTGCCAGTGGATTAACTGGGTTCTCATTCACAGCTTCTATGTCTAGATACTAGGAGGTCTTTTTCTTTCTTGGCAATTTGTGTTCTGGGGGAAAGAAAGTATTTGAGCTGGATTGCCAAAAGAGAAAATTATTCTCTTACATAACAAGTACTTCTGTGCATGCTGTAACTCTTGCTTTTTCTGCCTTAAAATCTGTTTTGTAAACCTGGATAAATAATTCACTCTTTGCTTTGCCAATTGGATGTTGTCAACATCCATTTGACTGGTCTTGGACTGATTCCATGCGTTAGAGCCAGCTTTCTTAAATACTCGGACATCAGCTCTTTATATATTGCTGTGAAAAGAGCTATGAAATGCAGGCGTTTAAGTCTTGCTGGGTACAGCAGTGCTCTACCATGATCGCTCATGTTGCTGAAAAGACGTTCCAGATCATTGCCTTGTTTTGCTGACTCTGAAATTATATCTAGTTTATGATTGCACTCCCAGCACATACAAAACTGTGAAAATGGCATCTTTTTTGTTGCCTGGAGAGCTAGAATGAACTGGGACTGAGCACACTCACCTCCAATGACTTGTCCGTATGTAGTACCTTTTGAATAAGTTCCAAAATATTTAGTTTGTTAATCACCAGAGCATCAAATACAGCATTCAAGCCCTAAATAACCAAGAGAAAGAGAGAAAGCAGAATCATTTATTAAAAGTGTATTTTAAAAATCCTACTTCTATAGTGAATCGTGCATCTCAATTCTGATTCTGAACTTGTTACAAATGGACAGAGTCAGTGCTCCAAGAAAAAGAAAGAACACTGCAGGAGACCATGCCTCAACACTTGACAGGATGCCGCATGCACCCCTGTGCATGGCCAGGCAGCCTCCTGGCCTATGCATGTGTAATGGGGGGCATAAGAACATTACCCCACCTCCTCTCTGCCCTCCCAACTCTTTTTGCAGCCCAGGGGTTGCAGTCATAGGGACTAGTGCAATAAAGTGCATTTTTAAAAGCCACCCATCCCTTACCTCTCACTGTGCACCAGTGAAGCATCAAGCATATTTTGGCTGGATGGGTTCAAATCACCTTTTCCTTTGTAAATGGTCACACAGGTTGCCAGAGCAATGGCTTAGAGTTATAGGGGATCCAGGCAGGATTCTCACTGGAATTACACCAATGTAAGTGCCCGATCCTGCAAGGTGCTGAAAACCTCTGGCAAAATTCTATAGACCTCTATAGGATCTGAAGGCATTCAGCCTTTGTTTCTCAGCACTTTGCCGGACAAAACCTTAAAGTCAAGAGTAATTCAACTTAAGTTAATGGAGTTACACTGGTGAAAACAAGATCAGAATCAGGTCCCATATATCCATCTGCTCCAGTAACCATTTTATTCTGACATGCTATTTTCATGGCATATTCTGTGTCAAATACCTCCCAACCCCACCAAAAATGTTCAGTAATTTTTAACACTTATGCATGAGGGATATGTAGCTAGCATCCTAATATCTTTGGAGATGATTTAGTGTCTTAAGGGCTAAAAGGAACTAGCAGAAGCACATTGCTAGGTGAGGGTAAGGGTTTCTACTCATTAAGAGGCAAAGACAAAATCAGTCTCTGTCAGCCACAGGAATCAGAGGGAAACTGGCATGAACCTCAGAGTGACTCCAGGCACGGAGGCCAGCAGGCAGTATACGTGGTTGGCTTATTGAGGAAGAGAAGGAGGCAGGGATCCAGTTGGAAAGGGGCATTTCAGCATGAGGCACTATTCATTTTTGTGTGTGGCTTCTATGGCTCTTCTTTACCCTTGTTTTTGCTCCCTTTGGCCTGTGCTTCTCTTACTGTGAAACCCTTATCCCTGAGCTTGAGGATGAATATAATCATCCTAACAATACAACATCCAACAAAGACAGCCAGAAAATAAAAGATAAGGCTGCTACTCAAACATTATTGTCATGCTACTATGAGAAACAACCATAGCACATCTTAAGTTAGAGAACCACTTCTGTGTCTCCCACACATGCCTTTGAAAGATAGTCTATTTAAAAACAATTCTGCTTACGCTCCAGGATATGTTTACTGTCATTTGTTTTCTTTTCTTTATACCAAGAATAATATGAACAAGGCTCTTCATTCCTTAAGTATTCCTCTGTTCTACTACTACTGTCCTACTACTCCATCCCTCCCAGTTCTAGCTGAAGCCATTCTCCAGCTGTAGAAATACACCCCAATTTTGGCATCTCAGTAGGCTACTGTTGAAGCAATAGGGTCATCACAAACAGGACGACCTCAGGTGAGTAAAAAGATACAGAAGCACATAAACTCAAAAAAAGAAGGCTCCTATTTAGATACGTGCTTAAAATAAGGAAGAGAATTAATAAGAGTGATAAGCAGAACAGCTACTTCTAACTAGGCAGTGTCAACAGTTCCTTTAAAAAAAAGGGATGTGGGGCATACAAAAACTTCTTTATCAGCCTTGTTCATTTAATCTATGAACAATCCCTTTGTAGATTTGCTGGTATCGTGGGCCCAAGAGGACAGTCAGACATGCAAGAACACAGGCATCCAATGTGGCACAAACTAAAACTGGTATTATAATATCTACAAAGCAGACAAGCAGAGACTTCTATAGGTACATGCAAGCTACTCTCAGACACAAACAAGCACAAAAGGAATCACATTAGAAGCACTGGGCACAGAGCCTGGCTAGGTCAATGTTTAACATTCATAAGCCAATTTTCTTAAGAGACTAACTAGTGCAGAAGCACAGTCTAAGTTGTTTACAGATGTGGAGAAGATTTGCAGCAGCATGTGTGCAGTAGTAGCTTATGGATGCTAAGGACAGAATTTAGTGGATTATGAAGAGACCTTACCAGTACTGTAATTCCTTGTTCTTTGCACAGCATGGCTATTGCACCAAGAAGAACACTCGCCAGTACCCAGAGTATAGAAAAATGGTTCCCTTCCTTATCTGTCAATGTAAAATAGGACATTGAATGGTACATTAACCTAAATTAACACTAGAAATTTTACTTTAAAAAACCACACTATTCATTTTCTCTTTAAATCTTCTCTCTCATGCCAAGCGACAGATTCACCTTTTAAGGCTAGAAGGCACCAATAGCAATATACTTGCATTAGTCCCTTGGCAGTAGCTATTTAGTGCACATTAGATATCTTCCTGTTTGGTAGACATTCTAGTCTCTCCAATTCTAGTGTGGCAGAGGCTCCACATCGGTTTCCACAATACATTATCTTCAAAGACTAATCCCCGCTCCATAGACAAGTTTATCATTCCCGGCTACAGGTCTGTTATTATTGGCCACTCTCCCAGGCTGTCAGAGAATAAGAAAGTAAATTCCTCCTAATTATTATATGTGAGGTATCATCCATGTGAGTCATATTTTAACTGCTGCTTAATCTGAAAGGTGCACTGGATTAAAAGCACCTGCAAGGCTGATTTGTTTAAGTAGTACATCAGAATACTCCATTAACTACTCATGAGGGAATTCCACACCAAAAAATAAAAATTCTGCACACAGTATTTTAAAATTCTGCAAATTTTGTCAATGAATAAATATGGAGGCTCCAGCATAGCAGTGAGGAGCAAAGACCTCTGGCTGCATGGAGGTGGAAGATCACACTGCAGCCCCTCCCCGCCCGGGACATAGACACAGCGGTGAGGCTGCAGGGCAGGCAGGCTCAGTCCAGCAGGATCTAATTGTGAAGGGGCTTAGTGTGGGGCGATCCAGGTGTGGGGCAAGAGGGTTCTGTTGGGGCAATCTGGGTGTGGGTGGCTCAGTGGGGGGGTCCAGATGCAGCTCAGGATGCACAGGGGTTTGTTGGGCAGGGGTTCCAGGTGCTGGGGCAATGGGACTCTGCAGGTGAACGTGGTTGGGGCGAGGAGTGCTGGAACAATTTGTATAGTGGAGGTGCTGAGAGCCATTGAACCAAACTGTAAACCCTCTATATGATGGAAACTACTTCAAGCCAGGGGTGAGGCAGCATCCCCAGTTCCAGGACCTACGGTTGGGGCTCAGCAGGGGAGGGGTTTGGGTGCAAGGGGCTCGCCTGGTGGGGGATGGGGCTCAGCAGGGTGGTGGTTTGAGTGCAGACATGGTCTGGGTGCAGGGGATGAGGCTTGATGGGGGCAGGGGTGTTGGGGATGGGGGAGGCTGGATGCGCAGGGGTTGGATGAACTGGGGAACAGCTTCCTGTACAGTGACCCCTTTCCCCAAGGCTGAGGAGCGATGGGGTTTGGAATTTCCTGCTGCCAGGGAAGGTTTCTGGAGGTGGGTCTGACCTGGGCCCGGCTGCTCCTTGTAGGAGAAGAGGAAGTCCTGTCATGCTGAGCCCAGCAAGGTACGAGCCACCAGCTGGGGCGTCCCCAGCCCCTGGCAGCGATTTACCTCTCCACCAGCTGCTCCAAGGCACCAGAAACAATGTGCCCAAGCAGCTGGGAAGGGGTGCGTGACTGTGACCGCTCTTGCAGCCTCCCTTTGCTTCCCCATCAGAAAGGCATTTTTCTACATGGAAGCAAAGAAATCTGCAGGGGACATGAATTCTATGCGTGTGCAGTGACACAGAATTCCCCAGGAGTAATTAACATTGTAACTGAGGGCTTGTCTACATAACCCGCTGGATCGACGGGCATTTACAATATCTACATCACAACATGCCCAACTGTTTCAAGACACTTATGTATTCAGTACGTTTGGACTTCAGAGACGTACAGCTGATTTTGTATGGCATAACCAAACACGTGATTGTTCAAAACAATACAGGGACATAGATTTTTGAGACTACCTAGAACAAATCAATGTTTATGGTTTCATGTTCCATTGCCATATCCTGTCTTCAGAATATTTTTGTCCAGACAATTGGATCAGGCTTTTTGGGGGGAGGATGTTTGGGGGGGTACTTGGGTTTTTTAAACACAGACAGTTTTGGTGAAATTAATATCAGAAGCAGTATGCTAGAACAGGATAGAAATTATCTTAAAATAATAAGTAGTGTAATATTTAGCACCTATGGCACCTTTCATGCATGAGATACCCAAAGATCTTTATTAACACAAACCCTGGTAGTGCACTGACTGTGTAGGACAGGGGCAGGCAAACTTTTTGGCCTGAAGGCCCCATCAGGTTTCCGAAATTGTATGGAGGGCCGGTTAGGGGAGGCTGTGCCTGCCCAAGCAGCCAGGCGTGGCCCAGCCCCCGCCCCCTATCCAACCACCCCTGCTTCTCACCCCGACAGCCGCCCCAGGACTTCTGCCCCAGCCAACCCCTGCTGTTCCCTGATGGCCCCCCCAGGACCCCCGCCCCATCCCCCTTGTCCCCTGACCACCCCCGGACCCCCCCCCCGCCCCTTGACTGCCCCCTGCCGCCCCATCCAACCGCTCCTCTCATTCCTGACTGGCCCCCTGCTCCCATTCAATGCCCCTGCTCCCCGCCCTCTGACCGCCCTGACCCCTATCCACACCCCCAGCCCGACCACCACCCAAACTCCCCTACCCTCTATCCAGCCCCCTCTCCCCCCCGCCACCTGCCCCCTTACCATGCTGCCTGGAGCGCCAGTAGCTGGTGGCGCTACAGCCGCGCCACCCAGAGCACCAGGACAGGCAGCCACGCCACCACGCAGCACAGAGCACCGGGTCAGGCCACGACTCTGCAGCTACACTGCCCGGCAAGAGCTCGCAGCCCCACCATCCAGATCATTGCGCTGGTGCCGCAGTGAGCTGAGGCTGTGGGGGAGGGGGAAGAGCAGGGAAAGGCCAGGGGCTAACCTCCTGGGCCAGGACCTCAGGGGCCGGCAGGAGAATCCTACAGGTTGGATGTGGCCTGTGGGCCATAGTTTGCCCACCTCTGGTGTAGGAAGAGAAACCTTATGCTATTAGCAAGATCTCACACATACATACCCTTGAACAGTGCAGCATTTTCTTCCCCCTTCCAGTTTGTGAAAGGAGGGGAATATAAGAGAAAATAGTAATCAGGATACCCTGAGGTTACTGCATATGCTTTTTAAAAAGGGGGAATGCAGTTTTATTTCCACCTGTTAAAGACCGGGCTGTGGGCAGTCTGGCCTAGTGGTTAAAGCAAGAATTCAGCCTACCAGTTAGAGCTGGGTCCAGGGTGGGCAGAGTCCAGGAACAAGCCAAGGGTCAGTAACCGAGACACAGAAGTCTAATGCCAAAGCTGGTGGATCAACCAGAGTCATAAACCAGGGGCAGAGCCAACGATCAGTACCAGAGACACAGGAACAGAAGAGGAACTGTGTCTGGAACAAAGCAGGAGCAAGGATGGAACGAGGGCAAGCGCGGCTGCAGGCTTGATATGCACTGAACAGCCAGAGAGCTAATGTTGCTGGGTTCAAAAGCCAGCCAGCTGCCCTTCCTGACCAATCAGGTAGCCTGCTGCAGGCCAGCTTTGCTTATTGGGGTGCCAGGAGCCTGATTCCACTACAGGCCCTGATTCCTGAGAATATCCTCCCTCCCCTCACCCAAGTGCAATTCCTGGGGGCCTCAGGGCATGTTTTCTTCAATCAGGCGCAGTGAAAAGCATGCAGGTCAGGGTCATGGATGTGTTCCCCAGATTCCCACAAGCATTCATCTTAGCCATATCCCTCCCAGTCAATTAATTACTGGAGCCTTCACCACGGTTGGCGACAGTCCAAAATTTGCCATACTGTTTATTCTTCCTACTATTCAATGGTTATCAGTGGGGTAGGGCAGTGAAAGGGATTTGCAGTATGTGGTTTTAACAGGGAGATATGGAATACGGGACAGTCCTTGAAAGGATTCCGATAGCTGTAGCCTGAAGGTTACTGGATTAATCTGTTCCATAATCTGAAAGGGCCCCCAAGTACTGGTGGTCCAGCTTCGTAGACGGGTGAGTAGATCTAAGGCTCTGGGCAGACTGCCAGACCTTATGCCCTACTGAGAAGCTAGGGGCTGGTTGACAGTGCGGATTGGCATATAGTTGGTAGGCTGTCTTAGCTTCCTCTAACCAGCGTTTAAGCTTTTGGTGCACGTGGTGAATGCAAGCAGTAAGGTCAGAAATGGCAGGCACTGGGGACTTGGGGATCTTGGGGGGAGCGAAGGTGGAATCCATGCTTAGCAAACCAAGGGGGACTGTTGGGTGGAGATGCACGTGGCACTGTTGTAGGTGAATTCTCCGTGAAAGATAAGCAGTGTAGGTGCTGCTCCAGGAACCAAATGATCTGTTCCATCTGACCACTGGTTTTTGGGTGGTAAGCAGTCAACGTACAGGTGTCAATTCTTGGAAGGCGGAGGAATTCCTGTCAAAAATGAGAAAGTGGGATCCCCAATCAGAAATGATGCTTGTTGGTAACCCACAAAGGCAAAAGGTATTTTCTTCAAAAAGGAAGGCGTGTCTCTCAGGCGGTGTGGAAGCCCCAAATGTGGTACAAAATGCAGCATCTTCATAAGAAGATCCCCTACCACTAGAATTGTAGTGTGTCCTTAGAAGGGCGGCAGTTCCACAAGAAAGTCCAGGGCTGAGATGGGGTGGGCTAGGGCTGCAGGAGAGACAGTGGTCTGACACAAGGGTCTTCGTCCAGGCACAGAGATCACAGGAGCTCATGTAAGTTGCTACAGAAGCACGCCAGGCTAGCCACCATAAGCTTCTAGACACCAGGTCCTGGGTCTTGAATTGGCCAAAGTGGTCTGCCAGAGGAGTGTCATGGCAGAATCTTAGGACATGGCACCTGGGTGGCCCCTCAGGCACATAGATGCATTCCTTGTGGTAGAGGATCCCATTGTGGCACGTGAACGCCAAGTCAGTCGGATGGCTGGTATCTTCTAGGGCCCAATGGATTTGAATCGCAAATGATTCATTGGGCAACAGGGACCCGATGGAGGGAATCGGATTGCTGGCACCACACTCCACAATAAAATTTTAAGGTCTGGGGATCATGGATGGGGTTTCCATGCCATAACACTTGTCCTTTCTA